ACTTTGTCATATCGGCGATTTCTTTCAAAGGACGTTGAATCCCGTCGAAAATCGCACCCATAATTCCAGGGCCAAGTTCGACAGATAGAGGTTTCCCGGTTCGAAGCACAGGGTCGCCAATCGTAACGGATGAAGTCTCTTCGTAAACTTGAATCGTCGCAAAATCGCCTTCCAGACGAATGATTTCGCCTACCAGTTCGGAGTGACCGACACGAACCAGCTCGTACATCGCCGATCCTGCCATCTTTTCAGCTGTCACTACAGGTCCTGACACTCCGTAAACGAATCCATAGGTGCCCTCCGCGACGGGGCCATCGGCAATTTGAGCCATTGGAGCCATAGCAAATCTGAAAGAATAGTATTGAAAAGGAGATGTGAAACTTATATGTATTGAACACACGGCGAGATGATTTATGCGAATTTAGAGTGCAAAAATTGGGGGAGGGGGACGGTCAAGAGGCTCCATTTCTCCACAGACCACCCTACCCAATTTAGAGCTATGCGAGCCTTTCGATATCAGCAAGTATAGTGCACTAGCTTAATAGCTGTCTAAAGCTACCGCTTGCTAAGCTTCTTGGTCAAAACTTGATTGAGTATTCACAAAGACGCCTTTAGTTGTATTTTGATGGGTTTTTGACCTCCAGTACTAATGTTCTAAATTTTCTTCGAGATGATAAGATCGAGCAACCCATGGGGCGACCATAAATATTCTTTAGAAATTTGAACTGCTCCTAGAATATCATAAAATACTAAAAATGCGCTAATTAGTGTCCATCTGGCAATAAGAATCGCTCCTCTTGACATACATCCCAAAAATTGTCTTTTCATTGAAATCTAATCAACCTTAGACAATACATGATAGCACAGATATTGCATACTGATATGCCTTAGGCTGATAGTATTTAGTTTGAAGAATAAGTCTTGCTTTAAAAATTTGAAAGAACTAATTCAAATGTCCCAAGCAGCGTCCCACTTTGTGCAGCATTTTTTCAATGTATATGATATGGTACTTTGTGGTATGCATTAAAGGTTTCATTTTGAACAATATCAAAAAAAAATTCAATAATTACAGATTAGAGAT